GATGAACCTAGCATTCCCCTAAAAAAAAGTTACGTAACTGAGATTAAATTTTGCATTAATTATATGATGACGACTTATTTACAATGATATATTTATTAATAATCAATATTCTAACGAAATAAAATTTTTTGGCTTTTCATTTTTACTCTATTTGTCTAACGCTATTTTGATTATACAATGTCAAGTGAACCACTCAAGTATTGTAAAGGTTGCCGGTCATTTAAAAAACCCGAAAACTTTTTTAAACAAACAAGTTGTAATGAGTGCCTAGAGCGGGCAAGAACAAATTCGAAACGACGATATGAAGAAAAAAATGAAAAAAAAATTATTAATATGAAAGAACGTTCTATACTTTTGAGTGATTTGACAGAGGCTGTCTATAATTCTTTAATTTCAATACCAGAAATTGATGAAAATTTGGAGGGCAATATTGGATTTTTTTTTGAGTGTTGTGTCGATTTTACAGAAATTTTGGATTTTCAAGAGAGTGATTTGTCCGAATCATCAATTGCAAATAAGCTTATCGAGAACATACAAGCTGGTGATGGATATCATTATGTATACCATACCAAAATTACGCACAAAAAGAAAAAATCTCTGACAATCATCTATAGATGTAATTGTCGTATTGATTGTGTTAAAAAATCACGAAAAAATTTAGAAAAAGAAAAACAACGTGATACTGCATCAAGACTTTGTCGATATGATTGTGCTGGTCATATTTCAATTGAAATTGATAACGAAAACAAACTTGCAATTATTAAAATTGATCATCAAATTTTACATCCAAGGCCAGAAAATATTAATGTTGCAGATGAAACAAAACAATTTATTACAAATAACTCAAGTTGTACTGCATCAGAATTATATAAAAAAATTCTTTTGAATCAAATGATCGGATTTGAAACATTAACCAAAGATCAGGTTTACTACTGGTGGTTAAAAGCTAATATAATTCAGTACAAACGGGCTGATGATGAATCCTTGTCTGCACAACTTCTATTACAAGAAAAAGATTATATTATTCTTTTTCATGTATTTGAACCTGTTGATTATTTCGCATTTTTAGCACCATTTTTTTCTTTATTACCAAAAATAGCATATGAATGTCTTTTAGTCGATGCTACCTATAATACCAACAGATTGAAATATGAACTATATGTTTTAATGGCTACTATCGATTATACTGGATTTCCAGTTTCTTATCTATATATTGCTGCAGGAAAAAATCGAGATATGAGATCTATTTTAACAAAATGGTTTTTACATTTACGAAATCATGGAATTGATAATGTTAAAACATTTTTGTCCGATAAGGATTTCGCACAAATTTCAAGTGCTCAGAGTATATGGCAAAATGCGAATATACAACTTTGTAAATGGCACGTTAACCGTGCTATAAAACAAAAACTTTCATCATCAGTGCAACGTAATATTTCCTATAACTCTATTGAAGCAAACTGTCAATTTACTTTTATTAATTCAACATGGACAAGTAGTAGATTACCAAGACAAACAGGTTCTAAAGTTTTTTGTACACATTTTTATCGAAATATAATTCTTGAACTTGTTGAAAAACATTTACACCAACATATGTTAATACCAACAATTAATCAAGAATTTATTAATGATCCACAACAAATTTGGACATTTGCAGTCAAAGAAATGTATGAGTTTTGTTATACAAATGATCTATTTGAAGTATGGTGTTACTTATGGAATGAGTGGTACCGTTATGATCGTTGGAAATTATGGGCTGTATCATCAAATTTCGAGTTATCTCCACTGTTAACAACAATGATTGTTGAAACACATTGGAGAATTTTAAAGCGTGATCATTTGTACAAGTTTAACAGACCAAGATTAGATCTTGTCTGTTTTATTCTTACAAATTATACAATTCCAGGACAAATCCAACGATATAACCTTCTTATTAATAATCGAAATTTATCCCCATGGCGTAAAGATATCAAATCTGAGTGGAAAAAAGCTGCATTAAAGCAAGTTGCAAACAGGAACAAATATTTGGTTGATCATAATCGTTGGATTTGTTCCTGTCCTACCTTCTTAAAAAGTAGATTTTTTATATGCAAACATCTTGTCGCACCTGTTGGAATGATGAATAATGAGTTTTTTTCTAAAGTACGTATATATATAAATTTATATGTATTACATAGTTATAATTTAAATTATTCTTATTCGTATTATTATTATATGTATTAACTTTAAAATTATCATTATAGGTATGCCGGAATAAAACTTATCCGCTTATATCTAGAAGTGATCATACTATTTGGGAACTAATTAAAGAAGATCGATCTGCTGCTACAACAAAAAATTTTACACATTTATTGCATGAAAAAATTAACATATTTTCAGAAGATAATATTGATACTTATGATACAGAAAATGAAGACAAAGGTTCTAGCAGTGATGATGAGAGTACAGTTGATACTATAGTGCGATTATCAAAAATACTTAATGAAGTATGTAGAAATGTTATCGTTATTTAATATTAATAAATTATATATATAAATACTATTAATACTATTTTTATACATACAGGCGAATACCTTTATTTCCAAGTCATCTGAGCTTACTCAACAAAAAAAATGGCTAAAAAACATTGAACCAAATTTTAAACAAATTGAAAAAATGGTTAATGATTTAAAAAGTTTTGATAATGCAAAAAAATCAAGAAAAACATGGGCGGGAAGAAACAAAAATACATTTTATTGGGAATAGTATAACAAGGAAGCTTTTGAATTTGGACTTGTCCCCGAAAGATATTAATGTTTTTTTCTGATGCCACAATTGCTAGTGCATTTAACGATCTTTTAACATTTGCTATTATGGACTCGGATAGTAGATTGGGTTTGAGCGATAAATTTATTTAGTTTTTTTATCTTGGCACATGTAACAAATAATCAAGTAATAGCTAATGAATCATTAAATTGAATAAAATTATTTTTCACAAAAATTAATAATAATTAAAAGATTCGTGTACATATGAAGAATAATAATTTAATGAAATAGCAATAAATAATTAAATTAGATAACCTATTTTTTTATGAAGATTAATAAAAAAATTTATTTGTATAAAGCCAACTTGTTCGAAGCTCATTTCAATTTGTAGTATAAATGTTCAATATAATTTTCCTAACACCTGATTAAGCGGAGAAAATTTAAGCTCAGTTACGTAACTTTTTTTTAGGGATGCACTAGGAAGGTT